TTTAATACAGCCACAGTTTGTGTGACAAGGAACAGAAAGGAGCGTTCCCTTAGAGACTGTGGCAGCGACCAGAGGTCGGTGTGGCAGCCTGGCAGCCTGGCAGCAAGGCAGCAACCAGTGGTCGGTGTGGCAGCGAACAGTATCTTTAAATGTAAATGCTCCGTACTTGTATAGCGCCTTTCTAGTCTTTTCGACCACTCAAAGCTTTTACACTACATCTGCATTCACCATTCACACACATTCATACACTGAGCCTAAGTGCTCAAACGGAAACTAACATTCACACTCACTCATACACTGGCGGAACAGCCGCCAGGGGCAATTCGGGGTTCAGTATCTTGCCCAAGGACACTTCGACATGCAACCAGGGGGAGCCAGGATTGAACCGCCGACCTTCCGATTAACGGCCAACCCGCTCTACCTCCTGAGCCACAGCCGCCCCTAGTGGCAGCGACCAGTGGTTGGTGTGGCAGCGAACAGTATCTTTAGCGCCCCTAGTGGCAGCGACCAGTGGTCTGTGTGGCAGTGACCAGTGGTCTGTGTGGCAGCGAACAGTATCTTTAGCGCCCCTAGTGGCAGCGACCAGTGGTCGGTGTGGCAGCGAACAGTATCTTTAGCGCCCCTAGTGGCAGCGACCAGTGGTTGGTGTGGCAGCGAACAGTATCTTTAGCGCCCCTAGTGGCAGCGACCAGTGGTCTGTGTGGCAGCGAACAGTATCTTTAGCGCCCCTAGTGGCAGCGACCAGTGGTCTGTGTGGCAGTGACCAGTGGTCTGTGTGGCAGCGAACAGTATCTTTAGCGCCCCTAGTGGCAGCGACCAGTGGTCGGTGTGGCAGCGAACAGTATCTTTAGCGCCCCTAGTGGCAGCGACCAGTGGTCTGTGTGGCAGCGAACAGTATCTTTAGCGCCCCTAGTGGCAGCGACCAGTGGTCTGTGTGGCAGCGACCAGTATCTTTAGCGCCCCTAGTGGCAGCGACCAGTGGTCTGTGTGGCAGCGAAGAGTATCTTTAGCGCCCCTAGTGGCAGCGACCAGTGGTCTGTGTGGCAGCGACCAGTATCTTTAGCGCCCCTAGTGGCAGCGACCAGTGGTCGGTGTGGCAGCGAACAGTATCTTTAGCGCCCCTAGTGGCAGCGACCAGTGGTCTGTGTGGCAGCGACCAGTGGTCTGTGTGGCAGCGAACAGTATCTTTAGCACCCCTAGTGGCAGCGACCAGTGGTCTGTGTGGCAGCGACCAGTGGTCTGTGTGACAGCGACCAGACCACAGAATTGGCTACAACCCCCTCTCGGTCTTCTCCTCAAAGTTCGCCTTCACGAGGCCTGCTGATCTAGCCTCGTATGTGCCCAAGAAAAACAGGAACCACAAGCCGGCCCTCGTTCTCTGCTACATCGCTACCAAAGGAGGCGTTGACAACCTAGACAAGGTGATTGTCACGTACAGCTGCAGGAGGATGACCGCCCGCTGGCCCCTGGTCGTATTCCACAACATCCTCGACGTGTCCGCATACAACGCCTTTGTGTAATGGAGAGAGACCAACCCTGGGCAAGGCACTCGTCAACCCGCTCATCGAGATAAGATGGCGTCTCCGTCACGCTGAAGTCTCCACGCCGCTGGTCAGATCTGTTCATGAGTCCGGCTTCTCGAGGGATCGACGTTGAGAAGGACGAGAAGGACAACGACCCTGGCATCCCGATACCATCGCACGCTCCTCAGAATTGGGGGCATCAGCAGGGGCGGCTAGTAAGAGAAAGAGGTGTCAGATATGCCCCCCCTAAGAAGGACAGCAAAATGCACACTACCTGCCGCAGCTGCATTAAATTTGTCTGCAAATGTGCACGCTCCCCTACTGCCCTACCTGTGGTGACGTGTGTGACGAGGCGGATAGTGGGACAATTTGACCTGGAGGACGCGGCGTGTCTACACAAAGCCGGGGCAGCGGGAGGGTTAAAAAAAGTAAATGCTGCCCCGACAGTAACAGGAGTATCTAACGTTTCATTGTACCTCCGGGAAAAACGAGCCTTAAACGCTCCATATCTGCAAAATATCTGTTTGCAACCGTCTCCAAAGCATTTGAAAAAAAGAACGCAGTTCGTTACAATGAAGTTTACAATTAATAGAATAGACTTTATTAATCCCACAATGGGGAAATTCATTGTTGCATCAACTCCAGTAAAAAAAACAAACCAAAACAGTAAAAAATACAAATAAAATAGACATTAAATTATAATATAATAAATAAAGGAATTAAAATTGGAATAAATATGTACACTACTTACAGATGCAGGTATGTACAGGTAGGACCAGGGTTAAACATTGCACAGATGCAATATGATGGTCACGTTATGTTGCTTCCAAGTTAAAAAGTCTGACTGCAGCTGGAATGAAGGACCTGCGGTAGCGCTCATTCTTGCACTTTGGGTGCAGCAGTCTGCTGCTGAAGGAGCTGCTTAAAGATACCACTGTCTCATGCAGGGGGTGAAAGCTGTTGTCCTTGATGGACTTCAGCTTGAGGTCCTTCCAGAGGACAGTCCAGGACAGAGCTAGCCCTCTCAACCAGATGGAGAACATAACCTGTCAATGTCTTAATTGACTTGCAACAGAAATTACAAGTGAACCTTTATTCCATTAATCTTAAAGTAAACTTACCATTAAATACTAACTAGCTTAGCAACACAAAATTGCAGAAAAGGACAGCGTTAAAAAATGCAGGCCTTAAGGTAACATCACCATAAGTTAACTTTTTTTACAAACCCAAACAAATGCTCAAGAAAAGCTTTTACTTTTGCACTGATAGAAATTATGTACAGATGCTTAACCTAACACAATAAGGAATTTCTCCTTTCCACAGTCAGGACATTGTGCAATGAAACAAATAGTGTACATAACTTTACGACACCTCTAAAGAAGTATGAACGCCTCTAAAGAAATAAGACATCATCTTGATGTTAGTAAAAATGTTTGTGCCTGAACCAATCTCACAGTTGGTCAACATTAACACATGCACACAGGTTTGTGTGCTGTGGGTGACATCACATGCTGACCTTCAGAGTGACAGCTTTAGTCTTCATAAATCTAGTTTTCTTTTTTTGCCACGCTGTTTACTGAAAACTCTCAAGCTTCATAGCTGCCCTCTGGTGGTGATGGCGCAATGGATAAGATAAAAAATTGGTTGTTCAACAAAACAATTATAAAGAGACCTTTTTGCATGTTGACAGTAAAACAGGTGCTGGAGTGTGTGTGTGTGTCAGGTTCACGTTCCCGTCATCCTGGAACACTCTCTCTGTGTTCCTGCGGGTCTCTTTCCAGGGTGCCCGGTACCAGTACAACTGCCTGCCGTTTGGTCACTTCCTGGCACCTTCTCCAAGTGTGTCGAGACAGCTCTGGAGATGAAGGGTCCTGTTTTATCTGGACGACCTGTTGCTAATGGCACGGTCGCAGGACGAGGCGGTGGTGCAGACGGCCAGGCTTGTCGCACACCGGTATCACCTGGGTTTTATGGTGAACTGGAAGAAGAGCACTCCTCTCCCCTGCCAGAGGCTTACCTATTTGGGTGTGGTGTTGGACTCCTTTCAATGGAGAGCGCATCTCTGTCTCTCTCTCAGGAGAGGTTGGACGCTCTGACGGAGCTGCTCCGCCGTGTTGTTCCACTGACGGTGGTGACGGCTCTGTCGATCACGAGGCTTCTCGGCCTCATGTCAGTGGCTCACGTGGTGGTCCCCCCCTAGAAGGGCTTTTAACATTACACATACAACAAATAGTAACAGTAAAACAATTGAGCACATATATGTGTACCACCCACTGATTATCTTCCAAAAATTTCTTCCGTTTAGTTTTAAATTGTTGATGATTTTGTTGTTTTTAGCTCAATAGGCAGCTCATTCCAGATTTCATCCCTTGATTGAAAAGGTAGTCAGGCCAAAGGATTTTTTCCTGTAAGATATTTTGCAATTCCCTGCAGTTGCATTTTTGGTTGAGAATCCAACGGCCTTTAACGGCTGTACCATTGTCACAGAGATCCTGAGAAGTCTGTCCATGCAAATACTTCATGATGAGGTTTGCTTTTGCATTTCCTGCATATGCTACAGTGGTGGTCTGTGTGTCGACCCGGTGAGACAGAAGAGGCACGTGGTCACTGTCCTTCTGTCTGTGGGTTCAGATCTAGCCTACTACCATTTAGCAATAGAAACAATTCAATTCATCAAAATGTTCCGCTTTAAGGGCATGTGTGCTATGATTCAGCTATTTACTACCTTATTATTACCTACCTTCTTTTTGCTAACTCTTTTCAGCTTCCAGTTTTGACAGTATAACAATTTAGCTTCCAACTTTTTAGCAATGTACTTCAGCTCTTAGTAAATGTTGTTCAGCTTCAGGTTCTCAAGCAGAGCTGAGTGCATTAATAGAAGAAAAGTCAGGAGGAAAGTGCAAATAAATGCTGTAAAAATAGATATCTTCATGAGTAAAATTTTTCTAAATTTAATGAATTTGATTAGACAAAAAGAAAAAATTCTGTATTACAGCATTTACTTTGAGTGAATTCTGTCCTGGACAGTGACTACAAAGCCATTGTGCGTTTATTGCTTCCAGTATTGATACCAATAATGATAGTAATATAGCCGAAGTGGCAATCATCGAGGTCCAAGCAGATTGCGTAGCAGACCAAATGCAGATGACTTAGAGATAGAGAATATTGACTCCAGGCCAAGCTGCTTTTGAGATAATTGTGAAAAAGTACATTTATTATTATAGACATGAGGTCAATGATATTGATATTGATTTTGATATTAGCCCACATGCCAATTTTGTGTTTCTAAGTCTTGTGTTTTTTGCTGCAAAAACACTTTTGTAGCGGAGAAAAATTAATAAACTTAATAAAGCAGTTTAAAAACAGAGTCAGAGAAATGCATGTTATCAACTGCAAAAAATAAGATTTTTTAAATTTGTAAATTACATGCACTGTGTGTGTTTGTGTGTATGTGTGTGCGTGTGCGTGTGTATCCAGGTGGTATCTTGTCCCTCGGGTGTTGAGGAATGTGTCCACAGTCGATCTGTCTGTCTCTGTTCTGGGCCAGAAGCTCAGCGTGCCTCTCTGTGTTGCAGCTACAGCAATGCAGAGGATGGCTCATCCTGAGGGAGAGACAGCTACAGCAAGAGGTAAACCTACAGCTGATTTATTATTGAAACTTACTACTTCATGACGGAGCGTTTCTATTTTAACCCACGCAGCTTTTCTAGCATTTACTGTGAGTTTCCAGGTTTAGCGGACCAGGAAACTTACAGACCAATCGCATGTGCTCCAATCGTCTCATGTGACGCTGCTCAGCCAATCAAATCTGTGCATACCGATGCCTGCGAGTCGAGTCCGCGAGATTCACCAGAGACGTTTTGTAAACACACACGAACTGGGGAAAGGGAAAAGAGACTTCACATGGCTTTTAATCAAGAATGTACAGATTTTTACATGTACATTCCTCCCACAGGCAGTTCAAAACCAGATTATCTCATCAATCTACAATGCTAGCTGGCAGGACAAGCTAGAGCTCACGTTTCTCACTGAACAAGAGAAAGTAGGAAATTGGTTGCTCTATAAGAGGGAATGAAAGAGAAGAGGAGGCATTACAGATGTTCATTTGTTATGATGTGTTGTGTTTATGTAATTTGTTCTAAAAATTAGGCTCTTTATTTTAGTTTACTTAAATTTAGAATTTATTATTAGAGTAGTTATTATTTATTATCCCTCCAGTTTGATGTGAAAACTGACAGTGAATATTCTTGAAATATTTTGATTTGACAGGCCGTTGTTGACTAAAAACATATGTTGATACAACTGTTCGTTATGGTACTGAATGATAACTCAAGTTAGAGGTTTTGCTGTTCCGGAGCTTTGCTTCGGGAAATTTTCTCTAACTGGACCTCTTTGAATTCTAATTGAATACCCCTGCAATAGACACTCATAAATACTGCTGTCTGACATAACTTTAGACTACACCAAATACATAACAAAAAACTCTGTCCTTAGGCAGGCATTTATTATTTCTGACTCTGATGGTGGGAAAAACAGTTCCACAAAACTACTGTGTCTTTGAACTCTCTCTTTAGCCAAGTCACACACATGTAAGCTATTCTATGTGATCTACTTGTGATGTAGCAACTAAAGTAATAACTAATGTAATATTGTTTCATTTCCATTTATTGAGCCTCCCCTGAAACTGTTTGGAGCCCCCCTGAGGAGCCCCCCCCCCACACTTGTGTTTCCTCAGAAACTTGCTTTATCTTCCAGTCACTTGCACACACCACTCTTTCTCTCCCAGTTTATATCTGCTCTGTTGACTTTCTTCATCAGCAGTAATGTTATATAAAGTCACCCAAAAAACACATCTCATGCATTTTGGATTTTCTAACTGTGGCTCCTTTTTCACAGCAACAGGTGACCCACGTGTGAAAGAATAATGTAAATAACATAATCTATTAAAAAACGACCAACACCAATGTGGTACCGAATAACTTTGGCACCAACAGGTGTCTTCGCTTTTCACTGTCACTTTATCTGGTCCTTGCTTGTAAAATATCCACGTGTCCACGTCTTCTAACTTAATAAGTTAAAAAAGATAAAGCTGCAGCCCAATCCTCAGTTCAGGCAGGAGAAAACATTTTAAAAGCAATACAGAATGCCTTAGAGCCTTACTCTGCTTATTCTATTATATTTTGCTAGTTTGAATTTTTACCTTCTGCCTGAATTTTGTGTTTCCCTTTATCTAAATCACCATAAATTGGTGCAGAGATTTTCACTAAAATGCAGGAAATGAACAGTTTAAAGCTCAAAATGTTAGGTTTGGTCTCCTCACCCTATCTGTAAGGCTGCACAGCCACTCGACCAAGCAAACTCATTTTGACCGCTTGTATAAGCAATCTCTTTCTTTTGATCAAAATTTTCCCAATTTTGAAATTGGGAGCATTACGGAGGTATCTGTACTGAATATGAGTTTATCGAGTTTATTAGAGATAATATTTTTCGTATCTGTGTTTTTTGATATCTCATCTGGATTTAATTAATTAAGGGGGGGGGGGGGGGGTGATGGGAAGCATTGAGAACAGGTAATTAATCCGAGGTAATGTTTTCATTTTAAACGAAGCGATTCGTCCAATGAGAGTGAGTGGAAGTTTAGTCCATCGTTTAAAGTCATCTTCTATTTTTTTAACAGAGGGGCGTAGTTGAGGTGGAAGAGGTCTGACATCTTACTAGAAATATTAATGCCTAAATATTTTATGATAACGGTAGTATAGTTAATTTATTCCAGTTTATTGTGTAGTGTGAGATTATTGAGAAGTTATTAATGATGTTATACGTTTCCTGTAGTGACATAGGTGGATTTTTTTAGATACAATAAATCATCTGCATAAAAACTAATTTTATGTTGAGAGCTGGTGTCCTGGATTCCATCAATTTTATTGTTTTGTTGTATTGCTGCTGCGAGTGGTTAGATGAAAATAGCAAATAGGGATGGTGAGAGTGGGCATCCTTGTCTGGTTCCCTGATGAAGTGTGAAGCTAGGTGAGGTGATCTGGTTTGTGATTACTGAAGCTCTAGGTGACGTGTACAGTGTTCTTATCCAATGGAGGAACGACAACAACAAAATCAAACTTGCGCTAAATAGGAAAGTCCAGTTTACTTTGTCAAAAGCTTTTTCGGAATCTAATGATACGACTTGGATGCATGCACAAATTTCAAGGATTGCAGTATTAGCAGCTAAAGGTACTTTATACAGGGTTCAATTATATAAAATGTCTTCTTACACTAGTGCACTCATTTAAACTTTCTCTTAGGGGAATTCAGGTTTGTCTGTGGTGGTCGGCCTTTGTGGAATGGTGAAGTAGGCCTTTTTAAAGGGCCTTCATCTTTATCTTATTTTGTATTTGCTCTTCATAATTATAAAATTAGGACTAAAATGCTCAGCAGCAAGATTCTTTTTTTTTGTTTTTGTTAGTAATCGCTAAAACAGGTTTATCAACTTTTACAAAACCTTTGGAATAATTCTGTCCCCAAATATTGTGAAATGATATTGACCAATTATTACAACCACAGGATTTCAATCAATTTTGCAATGAATTTGTTTCTTCAATCTAAATTTTATAGGAATGCATTTTATTTGTTGACTGTTTGTTGACAACCTCAGATCTTTCCAGCCTGCCCCCGTCTCACCACCCTCTCACCATTTCCTTCTGCTCACCGAAACCTGGCAACAACCCAATGACTTCTTCTCTCTCAACCAAGCATCCCTCACTGGCTACAATTACATCTGCAAACCCCGCCCCTCGCCATTATCTACAATCACAACTTCTGGATCACTGAACTCACCCTACCCTTATTATCTTCATTTGAATATCTCGCCTTCAAAGCTCTTTCCTCATGACAGTTATCCTCATCTACTGGCCACCTAAACCAAATCCTTCCTTCCTCTCTGATTTTACAGAACACCTCACACTAGCCTCATCTCTCTCTTCATGTCTGCTGCTACTCAGTGACTTAAACATCCAAATAGACTCCCCCACCTGCAAGCTGTCATCAGAATTCACCATTTTACTGGACAACTTCACTCTCATCCAACATGTCACATTCCCCACCCATGACAAAGGACACATCCTCGACCTGGTCTGCTCCACTAACCTACCAGTGCTCGACCTCCATCCATGCCTCTTTCCCCTCTCTGATCACAAACTGATACAGTTCACCATTTCTTCTACAACCACACGCCCCCGCCTCCTCAGAGAAATCACCTTCCACAAACCTTAAATCTATTGATCCCCACCATCTCTCTGAACTGCTCTCCACCACGACTCAACCCTCACCTCACCTGATGATCTCACTAACCACCTCAACTCCGCTTTGTCTTCCTCCCTTAACACTCTGACCCACCTCAAAACAAAAACTGTCACCTTTAACACCTTGTCACCCTGGTACACACCTGCACTACAGAAAATGAAACAAACTGGCCGCCAACTTGAGCGTCTGACAAAAAAATCATCTCTTACAGTCCACCATGAAGCTTATAAACTCCACCTCATTGCCTACAAAGATGCCCTCATTGCTGCCAAATCTGCCTACCTCTCCTCCATCTTCACCAACCCCTGTCATAACCCCAGAAACCTCTTCTCCACAATGAACAACCTCATCATCTCTCGGACCAACACCCTCCCTACCTCTACTCCGGATCTCTGCAACTCATTCCTTCACTTTTTCGCTGATAAAATCAACACTATTTATCAATCTGGGGGTGGCGATTGCGCAATGGATAAGACTATGCCTTTGGTGTGAGAGACCCGGGTTCAATCCCCCACTGTGACATATCCACCATTGTGTTCCTGAGCAAGACACTTAACCCCTCGTTGCTCCAGAGGCGTGCGACCTCTGACGTATATAGCAATTGTAAGTCGCTTTGGATAAAAGCGTCAGCTAAATGAATAACTGTAATATCCCCTGCATCTGACCTCCCAGTATCTACTCCAGCACCTACCACGGACCCTGAGTGCAGCCTTCGATACCGTGAGCCATAACATCCTGCTCACCAGACTCAAAGACCTTGGTATCGAAGGTACTGCACTCACCTGGCTCCGTTCCTACCTTTCCAACAGATCCCACTTCATCTCTCTTCATAACCATACCTCTGCTACAGTCACAGTCACCCAAGGCGTTCCCCAAGGCTCCGTACTCGGCCCCCTTCTCTTCATCATCTACATCCTCTCCCTTGGTCAGATACTCCGCCACTTCAACCTGAACTTCCACTGTTATGCCGATGACACCCAGATCTACCTCCGCACCAAATCCCCCCACAATCCCCCCCCCCCTCTCCCACATCAACTCCTGTCTGTCAGCTATTAAAACCTGGATGCAACACAACTTCCTCAAACTAAACAGCATAAACCAGAATTCCTCCTCATAGGCTCCAAATCCACTCTCAGCAAAGCCAATAACCCCACTCTCACCATCGACGGCACCATTGTCTCCCCATTTCCCCAGGCCCTCAACCTCAGTGTGATTTTTGATTCAACCCTCTCCACCATTGACACACTGAGCCTAAGTGCTCAAACAGAAACTAACATTCACACACATTCATACACTGGCGGAACAGCCGCCAGGGGCAATTCGGGGTTCAGTA